ATGAAATCGAAAGAAGATAAGGCATTTCTTGTGAAACAGAGGAAGAAGAGCCGTCCAGGTTCCATGGTTGGAGTGGATCTCAAGTTGTCTCGAGCGGAAGAAATCAAGGCGCAAAAGGAACTTGCTAAAATGAACCGACAAATCCAAGAAGAAACTTTTGATATTGGCGAGTTTTTTTATTATTATTTTTCTAAAAAATAAATAAGTAATAGATAATAGATATTTTTTAAATAATAGGTACCTATTGATAATTATAAGTAGGTAATTTGGTACCTATATATTATTACTATTCTGCTAAAACGACAAGTTTTTCTAGTGTTTTTTTCTCTTTCTTTTGTTGCTTCTTATTTAGAGACGGATGTTGAAGACAAGTTCGAAGAAGGAGAAGAAGAAGAAGAAGGTACTGAAGAGGACAGCATCTACCAGAAACTTGAGAGCTTGGAGAAACTTGAGAGCTTGGAGGAAATAGAAGCTGTAGAAGATCCAGGACCATGTGAGAGCAAGAGGATGAAAGTTTCATTTGCAAGGGGCGTTAAAGAGATTTTAAACATGAATTTATCCATTTTGTTAGATCGATGGAAGGTATCCGACAGAAAAGCCATGCGAATTTTAATAGCTACTCTAGAATTACTAAACCTTGACCCTCTTGAGAACAAAGTCTCGAAAACTTTATTACATTATAGAAGGCAAATGTTCAGAGAACAATATACTAAAAAAAAATTTTTGATAAAGTAAACATTCCTGAAAAAGAGCCCGTGGTTGTCCATTGGGACGGTCAACTTTTAACGGGTATTTAAAAAAATTTACAATGTGAGCGAATAGCTATTGGGCGTTCCTGCAACAGCAAACAGCTATGGAAAGGAGCAAGCCGAAGCCGTATATGAATGCCTTCATGAATGGGGTCTTCTCAACACCGTCAAGGCGAAGTGCTTTGACACTACAGCATCCAACACGGGAAGACTCAAAGGAGCATATGTCATATTGGAGCAAATGTTAGGAAGAGGATTGTTATACCTAGCTTTCCGTCACCATATCTTCGAAACTCTGTTAAGATGCGTATTCAACACAAAAATGGGATCAACCACTGTACCTCATCCAGATTTAAGAGATTCCTCACTGCGTGGCCCAAGATAGACAAAGGAAAGTGCGACACAGGTATCAGTGAAAATCTAATACAAAAGCAGCTAACTTCAGTAGTAATTGCAAATGTTACTGCTGAATCCGAGGCCAAGTTAACTGAGAGCCACCCCAGAGATGACTACAAGGAGCTATTGCAGTTGGTTCTCGTATTTGTTGGATAACTAGACGGCAATGTTGTGGGGTTTAGAACTCCAGGAGCCAATAATCACGCTAGGTGGATGGCAAAGGCTATTTACTGCTTAAAAATGTTCATGTTTAGACGTCAATTTAAGATGTCTAAAGAAGAAGAAAGTTCTGTGCGTGCCATTTCTGTTTTCCTAGTTAAAATTTATTGTAAAGCTTGGTTCAATGCTCCAAAAGCTCATCTTGCACCAAAGCAAGATTTACATATTTTGCATAGTCTGTTAGACTATAAAGAATGTGACAACGATATTGCAGAAATAGTCCTGACCAAATTTTCGAAACATCTGTGGTATTTGGATGCAGAATTGGTGGGATTTGTAGTGACTTTCGTCAAAAGTAGGTAAACGTGGAAACAATAACCAA